CGGCACATAAATTACTAGAAATGGGTTAGTTTAAGTTATAAGAGCTAATTAGAAACAAGCCTAAGCTATCAGCTGAGCTTTCATAATTAATAAAAAGTCTCTGTGTAGTTATTTGGGAGCTGGCTGGTGGGACAGAAAAATCTCCCTATATCTCATTTTCTGTCTTACAGAGAAGTTGGAAATGGGATACAATGAAGACAAAAAAATATGCAAACATAGCTCATAACAGTAAGCCTTTTTAGTAAGAACTATTGCTAATGTTTCTGATAGAAAGTACATTTGTAAATTCAGTACCCTTGAAGGACTTTTAAATCATAAATTATCTGTGTTCAGAGAGGAGAATTAATGGGAAGTTAGTGATAATCAAGAAATGTAAAGTTTCTAGAAAATTGAAAAATATACCAATTAGGTGAAGAGAAATCATGAAGATGGAAACATATGGATTTTCCATATGGATTTCACAATTTTTTATTGATTATTGTTCAATATTACACTATATTTTAAACAAAATTCTGTTAAAAACTGCAGTTAAAAGAAACTTTTATTTTTCAGACACGTTCGCCTTTTAAAAATTATGCTTTCAAAAATCTCAGTGAAGTGTTTGTGTCTGCATCATCTTTAATAACCAGGAGCCTGCTGCCACAGAGCTGCCCCAGGAAGTTCTCACTGTGAGTCAGTAGACCAGGAGTAGCCAAGGCGAGGCTCTCACTAGTCCTGTGATGGCGCTATCCATTCTACCTTGGGCCTGGTGTGGCCTCCATTATCAAATTTTGAGACTAGCGCAAACTAGGGGCTGATCACTAGAGTTAATCTTCACTACTTTTCCACAGGGTTTAATGTCAGCCCTAACTCTGAGACTATATAATTCAGATAATTTAGGTGTTAAGTATCATTCCATGTTTTAGGTTTTTTAAAGGAAAGAGAAGAAAGTCTGTGACTCCTTGAAGGTATAGCGTTTCTCTCTCCGACTGTTCAGTGACATGATGCAAATTAAGTCCCTGCAGTGTCTGGGACATAAGCTGTGCCACCATCATCATCGTTACTATGGTTCACACATGTGGGAATTTTGTAGTGATATATATATGGGCCGGAGAGATGGCTTAGGAGAGGAGAGTGCTTGCTGCTCTTGCTGAAGAACTTAGTTCCTAGCACCCACATGAGGGGACTCAACTCCAAGGGATCTGACACCTCTTCTGGCCTCTGCAGGCATCCCCCCCACACACACACTCACACATCCCACAAAATCCTTAAACATATATTTTTAAAAGAATATATATAATGAACGTATGATTTTTTTTAGTAGACATGATGTTTATCTCGCATTTTCTCTTTTATATATTGCACTGTGATTTTTAAAAAGCAACTAAACCAAAGACTCTTTAACAAGAACAAGGTAAGTAGAGGACCTTGTCTTTAGTGTGGACCAGCTACTCTGAGAAACTTCTCTGTAGAGAGGAGGTAGGCTACTCAGATTGCCACAGGTAGGTGACACCAGCCATCAGCACACTGGACAGTCTTTCCCTCAGATCACACCAACCTACCAGTTGGGAGTCACTAAGTGATCGCCCTCCTTCTGGCCAGGTGATAGACTTGAGCGTTTTCATACACAGTAAGTGGTGTCCTCTCCCGATGATGTCACACAGGGGAAACTGATATATAAGCTGGTCCTCTGGAGCTGCCCACTCATTGACAGTCACTTCCTGTGAATCATCTCCTTGAGTTTCCTTTCCGCATCTTAAGTTGAGTCCAGCAGTCATGGCTGTTTCCCCTTACAGAGGCATTCTGAGGATCTGCGGATGGTGCAGGTCTCTCACTGTGCCACATTAGTGATGGCAGGGTGGGTTCCTAGAACTGTAAGATATAAAGTATCTCGAGGGCATCTGCCCAGCTCCATCTTTAAGGATGACTGATTCTTCCGGACTACTCACCATCACTTATTTATGGCTTTAAGCTCCAGCAGAGGCAATAATGTCCTCTCCCTCTCTAAATATTCCCCCCAGGCATCTTCAACTGGCTTCTTGGTCTTCACTGGCCTGTCTCCAATGCCTTCACATTTATTGAAGGGGAGGTACTCTAAATTCACTTTCCTCTGAGAGGCACTGAAGAGTCTCAGGCAAGGGGCAGTCTGGGTCCCTCAATGCTGTGTCATAGTGGATCTAAGTGGAGGAAACACGTGAAGAGAAAATAAGGGCTTTGGCATCCAGAGAACCGAGATCAACACTCTGTTGCTTTGTTCCCATCATTCGTGGATAGCAAGAACCCATAATAAGGCCATTGTGGGTAGTAAGTGAAATGCTGGGTCTGTTTTTTGTTTTTTTTTTTTAAGTGCTGGATTTATGTCGTATTTATTTTTTATACAAAGGTCCTCCAATGAAAACCAGAGACTTTAATGGGTGTTCACTAGACAAGATAGGATATCCAGGCAGGAGAGGAAGTGGCTTTAGTGGGCTTGATAGAAAACAGCTCTCCTGAACTGTAACTTTCCAGGGCAATTTAACTATCTTTAATTTTTTCTCTTAGATGCTGAGTTTAGATCCATGATCAGAACCAATTCCCCTGGGTAAGAGTGTACTTTAAATCTTACAATCTTAGTGGTTTATGAAACTCTTTCTAGAACTCGTTAAAAAAAAAAGCTATGTGAATCAGGATACATTGCTCCCAAAGATAAATAATTTAATATTTATAGTCTTGATTTAGAAATACCTCTTTCCTTCTCTAGAAATCTCTTTGAAGTGGAAAGTTAAAAAAAAAAAAGATAAAAGGTGCTTACTCAGACCTGTTAGGACCAAATTTACAAAGTAAATGTATCACAAACAAGAGACAAACAACCAAAACCTAGACTGTTTCCCACACATCAAAGTATCAGCAGTCACCGCTGCTCCTAATAGCCTGGGCAGGGCTGTCAGCAGGCCCCTGTTATAAAGACATTGATCTTCCCAGGACGTTGTGAGCAGTTACTGCTCCCGTCTCTGTCTCCCACATAAAGAAGCCCAGGCGGGAAGGGTTGATTTCCAGGGTTTCTTGGCACTCCATTCAGTGGAATTCCACTCAGGGGCTCAAACAGCCCGCATCTGTGGCTGCTGCCCTGGATTATATTTTGGTATCTAAATGACTCATCATTTTTTAAACGTATTTTAGTTGTACAAAAGGGTGGTTTTTATTATGACCTTTCCATATATGCACAATGTGCTTTGGTCATATTCACACACGCCCGTGACTCTCTTCTCCCTCCCCCGGCTCCACTGTCTCTTTTCAATCCGTCTTTAATACTGGCTCCACCAGACTCTAACAGAGAGTCAGGACAGTCAGTGACCGTGCCTGCTCCTTGCATCTCAAACCCTGGCTGGTGAAGAACCCGGGGTCTGAATGCCTAGGGAGTCTGAAACAGAAATCATACTCTGTACCCAAACACCGAGTTGTTCGCCATCTTCTGACTCACAGCCCTGTCACCGGATCCTCACGCGTTCAGAAAGCTTCCTGGAGACCAGCTGTCTCAGATGCAATATGTGGTTTTATTTATTTTTTAATTATTTTATAAAAACACTGCCTGTGTGTGTGTGTGTGTGTGTGTGTGTGTGTGTGTGTGTGTGTGTGTGTGTGTGTGCGCGCCACAGCACATGCATCCAGGCCAGAGGACGAGTTGCAAGCGTGAGTTCTTCTCTTCCACCATGTGGTTCCTGGGGTCAAACTTGGATTGTCTGGCTTTGTGAAAAGCACCTTTACCCACTGCACCGTCTCACCATTTTCAATCTAAGTATGCATGAATAAGGCAGTCTAAATTATGAAGAAAACTGGTCAGGGTGCTAACAGTTTGAATTATCACTAATTGAAATGAGATAAATTCTCAGCATTTCTCCCAATTGGGTGTATCGTCTTCATTACCATCTGAAGGATTTGAGACGTAAGCAGCTAGTAGCAATGGCCATCATTTGTTGAGCATACTTTGTGCTATGAGGTTGTTTGATGGGGAATTGACATACAGGCAGTCTCTAGTGACTAGGTATAGCCTCCAGCACAACCTAAAGGCAGACCATTGAACCAGGCTCATGCTGATGCCCTGTGCAGGTCTAGCCACGCTTCTCCATGGATTCCCAGGCTTTAAAGACGAGCTTGTGTTTACTGCACCTGGCCTGTCACCTGGCAGCTTGAAGATCAGTAGCCATCTAATCTGTATTTCATTACAAAAGTTTGGGTAGTTCTCCTGAGAAGTCTGCAACCCCAGATGAACTTCTGCCCCGGCAGACTCCATCATCTGAATCTCACCAAAAAAAAAAAAAAAAAAAAAAAAAAATCTTCTGACTGGAAAAACAAGAGGCTTATTTATGATTCTCTCAAACACTGATATCCAGAAAGGAAGGAAAATCAATTGCAGTGCTCGGCAAAGGCGAACAAAAAATTAGCCCTGATTAACTCAGCCTGTGGCTCCGAGTTCTTTCACAGTAGCAAGGGCAGAAATCCTTGGCTCTGTTAATCACATTTGGATGAAATATCAAGTTTTATAGAAATCATCCCCAGATTGTTGTTTTGTTTCTGGCATGATAATACAGCTAATTCATCAGCAGAATGAGCAGGCTAGTCTTCACTGGAGCCAGGCTTCCTTTGCTGAAACAGCCACCCCCAAGCTGTTCCTAGGTCTGGAAAGGACCACAATAGCCTGTTCTTTGCATTCGTGGTTTCAGAATTCTATTGGCCACTGACAAGCTGTGATTGGAATAAATGTTTAACACAACAGGAAACAGAATTATGAGACATCTCTCCCAGGTACTTACTGGCCCATCTTTCTAGGACAGTATGCTTTTCTAAATTATCTAAATACATATGCACAACAGCATACAACACACCATGTTAAGACTTAGGAATTTTTCCTTGTGTGACATTCTGATCACTGACCAAAGTGGGTGACAGAGAGATGAAAATACAAAGGAGTCATCCTGTGTCTGAAGGAAGACTCACATCAGCTGATCTTAGTCTGGAAAGCTCCCTCCTCTCCATCTGAGAGGCACAGCAGCAGCAGCAGCAGACCAGTCGGGTGTTGTGTTTGTGGTAATTCTCTGCCAGCCCTGAGCTGACAAAGGAGACCTCGGAGCAGAGATGTCGGGGGAGGGATGGCAGAGGACAGCCCTGAAGCACCAATTCCCTACTGAACAAGGAAGGAGCATGTTAACAGGTAGGCAGCCCCTGACACACTCCCTATAAAACATCTTGGTGGTGAGGTAAATTATATGAGGTGGGTCTGGTGCGTGAGTCCTGTGGAACTGAGACCATTGATCCAAATGGTAAATTGATTTTTGGCAATGGGGGGTTAGGAGTCCTCTCCAGCAGCCATAGTACCATTCTGAGCCGCAGGGCTGAATTGGTTTTTGGTTCCTCTGCACTAGGGTTACTGATGTGTACCCTTGTGATACTGCAGGATAGGGAAATTTGGTCAGAGTTACACAGTAAACTATGAGAAGTGAGCCGGGCAGTGGTGGCGCACGCTTTTAATCCCAGCACTCTGGAGGCAGAGCCAGGTGGATCTCTGTGAGTTCGAGGCCAGCCTGGTCTACAGAACAAGATCCAGGACAGGCACCAAAGCTACACAGAGAAACTCTGTCTCAAAAAAAAAAAAAAAAAAAAAAAAGAAAGAAAAAAAAAAGAGAGAGAGAGAGAGAAGTGTCACTGTAGTAGCATGGACAGATGTGGATGTAGGACCTCAAATATAGTCAAATGTAAAATTCCTCCTCAGCTGGTTCTGGATATGAAACCACAGAATTCACTCATCTTATAGCATATATAAAGGCAAGAATCTGCTAGACAAAGGAGGTCATAAAAACTCATCGAGCCAACCCTAGACCAATGTATGTAGGCCGCCTCTTCTAAGTGGTATTTAGAAATCCACCCTGTATTGGCAACTGTTGAGTTCCCGTTGAAATCCATTCTGAAGACTTTCTTGACTTGCACCGAAAAAGTCAACTGAAATGATGAACTGACATTAAATACCAAGCCCAAGTTTAACTTAAGTATTTCTATACTTCTACCAATTGTATTTATTTGTGCTTATTAATGTAGTGGATTTAATTGTTCATACATCCATGTTTTATCTTACCTACGTGTCTTTGTTACATGTTGCTGCTGCACATTACCTGGTCAAAGCCACCTAGAGAGAGAGGGTTTCTTCCAGCTTACGTTCTCAGCAGATAAAGCCATTATGGCAGGGAAGAAGTGGCAGTCTGAGTGTGGGGCCAGTTCATCCCATGAGTTAGTGGTCAGGAATCAGAGAGAGAGCAAGGAGGGAGGCCAGCTATAAAACCTCGCAGTCTGCCCTCCAGCAAGGCTCTGCTTCCTATAGGTTCCATCCCCAACCTCTCAAACAGCGCCACCAACAGGGGACTAAGGGTCCAAACACACGAGCCTATGGGGGAGGTTTCACTGGAAAACCACAACACTAGAGGAGTGGGGAAAACTACAGAAATAATGTGGCCTCTAAAATTCCTCTCATTGTCAAGAGAGGAGAGAGACAGGAGCATGGGATTCGTAGTCTTTCCAATTAGGATGTGAACTACTTAAGAAGATGCCCTAGGTTAAGGAAGGCCACAGAGAGTAATCCAGAACAAATTCATCCTGTGTTTTTTAACTACAATGTGGTGCACCTCACCGTGCAGTCCCCTGATCCTTCTCTCCAGTTAATGAAAGTGCCAGAGTTTCAGTTAGACTATCCTCCCAAGAAAGATGCTGTGAATGGCAGCAAGCCCCAGCTTCCTTTGTACCTCCCGACGCCAACCTCTTCCTTACATTCAGGACAGGCCTACCTCAGTTGTGAGGCAACAACAGACTGTGTCCGGGATGAAGACCGCTCCTTCACTTCAGGAAGCTTTTATTCAGAGCTGGCTGAGGTGGTTTATTTGGGAAAGTAAGGCAGGAAGACTATAACTCCAAGGCCAGCTTGGGCTTTATAGTGAGACCCTGTCTCAGAAAGAGAAGAGGAAGAAAAAGAACCATTTCTCTGAGAAGAGATGAGAACAGCTTACTTATTGCCTGGGGTAGAGGATCAACCAAGCAGATACTCACTTTTCAAGGCTTTGACTTCCATCTTTTTAAGCCTCACAAGTTATTGAGGGAAGTAGTAACTGGTGTAATGCAGTGCCTAACTCTTCCATTTAGTGAGTGCAAACCATGTGCCAGCATTTGGCTAGCCTCCTGAACACAAGGTGAATTCAAGGGAGTCCACGTTCTGATGGGGGTGCCATGCAGTCCGGTGGTGTATAGCGTTGGAAGCGAGGCAGGAATCTGAACATGAGATTATTGTGAGTGCCGATACCTGCTTAGCTGGAAACTGGCTGAATTTAAAGAAAAGAATTTAAAGATTTGATCTTTTAAGAAGGTGAGAGAGTCTGGTGCTTTTTATACTTTTAAAATATTATATGTTTGAGCAATTAGCATAAGCATTTTTCTTCACAGCCACTTTATTCTAAAAAGCATTTGAAGTGTCTTCAAAGATAAAATTGGAGCACATTTCCCTTCAAACACAGGTATGGACAGTACCCAAGTGATTAAGTGTGTTCACTTATGTTAGTGACGATGCTTTCACTTATTAATTTTTTAAGATAAAAGTGGATAGATGAAAATATATTAATAAAATATATGCAGGTCATGGTTTCACCTCTAGCAGCTTAAAAATTATGTTGGGAAAAATTGCAAACATTTATAGCAATGAGACAAATCATAAAACACCCCCATCATTATCCAGCCCCATCAATTGTGGTCAATTTTTAACCGTAAGTTCCGATTTCCTGACAATGTGTACATGACAATAAAAATTGATTCAGAAAGAAATGAAGTACTTAATAAGTCACAAAGAAATTGAGTTAATGATTAAAACACTGAATTGTTGATCAATGTGTATTAATAGTTCTATTCCTAGATTTATACATTAGATACAATTTTGCACACATGTACTTAAAACATGTAAAGGATACATTGTACAAGTACAGACCACAGGAGGATATACACTCAAAAGAGAGATTCTGTTAAGTTGCAGGTTCTCAAAACTACTTCTAACAAATCTGAATAGGTGCAAAATGATACCCACCTGGTTACCAAAAGAGTAAATGTAGCAACATTTTTTCCTGTCCAAATTGGAAAACAATTGATATCTATTGCCAGGGGAACAATAGTGAAAATGAAGAAACTACAGCCACGTGGGACTGTTTGAATGGCTCTTGTACACGTGTTGTTGACTGGGAGACACTCAATGCAACAGTATACACACTTGTGTGATTCCTTTGGAGGCTGTTCAAAAACAGACATAACATTAGTTGTGTTAGCAATGACCACAGAGGTCTTTGGGAACCTGATCATGTTACATTTCTTTATCTAAAGCTGGTGAGTGGCTGGGAATGTAGCTCAGTGGTATAGTACCTACCATGCCCAAGGCCCTGGCTTCAACCCCCAGTGCTGCAATTTAACAGACATATGTTAAAGCCAGCTTTAGTGGAATACTAAGGGAATAAAGGATCCAACGACCAGAGGTTTTAGACATCATGGGGCTGGCATGCATGTGTGGAATGAGTTAGTTAAGGTGGCTACTACCTGATGTCCAAGGAACCATGAGTAAGCAACACCATGGTTGTTATTGAACTTGGTATGTAACTTGCTCTGACAAGAAACCTCTTTGTATGATAATCTATAAAATGTCTTAGCACTGTGTCTGCGTGCTCTCGCCCAGGATGAAGTATGTCCCATCTGCCAGTGGCCCTGAGTATCTTCCTTGGTCTTCAGGGTCCTCTCCACCCTTTGTAGAGGGCAGGAGGTCCTTGGGTTCGTAGATAAGCACCAGGAAAGATGGGATGTTAAACGTGACAAAATGTTAAACCGCAGAAGAGATAGATACCTGTTTTCCACCCAGAAAGCTGGGAATGGATGTAGTAATAGCCTCGTGACCTGTGCTATCTGTAGGGCCGGGCACATCTGAACCCCCCATTATGTTTACCTCAGTCATTCTCCCCAGACCCTCACCACAAGCACTGAGAACAGTCAATAGAACCCATTGTTATAGAAGAGGCCATATGTACTTTGCAAAGAGTTTCAATGTATACGTCTTAAGCTTTGTTGTACGCACAGTAATGAGTTAATTAACATCAGGAAACTTTTTTTCCAAAATTGTGCTGGGCTTAAATATGTCTACAGTAAACGGCCTTGAGTCAGACTTCAGAAACCAGCTACTGAGTCTTGTGGAACTGGATTTTCTTCTTGCCTCATGGAGCTCAACACTCTGCTGGCACTAGTGTTTACAGAGATCCCACCACCATGACCCTTCATCCCTGTCCCCCCTCAACTAAGTCCCATCACACACACACACACACACACACACACACACACACACACACACACACACTCACATACATACACATACTCACACTCACATACACACACACACACTTGTAGTCCCACCTACTCTTGGTGGCTGAGGCAGAAACGTGTCTTTAGTAAAGAAAGAAAAGATTTATTTTATTTAGGTACATTCATTTGTGAAAATTCATTCAACTACATACTTTTTAATTGTACACAGTCAACAAAGTTTTACCTTATAAAATTAAAAGGTACTCATTTCTCATAAGAAAATAAAATATGCACAAGAGCCTGCTCTTGGTTTTTACAAAAAGGTTTGAGCTAGCAAATAGTGTTAGCAGAGTAAAAATTTAGCTATTTACTTTTTCCAGAAAGTGTGAGAGTTTGACTTGAGAAATTGGACTAGAGGAGTTGGAGATGTCTGCTCTTATCCCACTGTGGGAAATACCACTTCCTGTTACACTCTAGCACAGGAAACACATTGCTCTCTTTGAGTTAGGCCCTCAGGGGTCTGACCATGAACTAATCCTAACTTCTGACAGCTCTTCTCATAACTGGCCACTCTGAGCCCTTTCTTCCCAAAGAAAAACAATAGGGTCCCAACAACCCATCATTGGCTGGGAACCTGATCTATGGGACATCACCAGTTGATGCTGCAGAAGATCACCAGGCTGATTAGAAGCTGCCATGGTCCAGAATCTTGAGAATTGTGACTCTTAGTTAGGGTTGCATTGCTGTGAAAAGACACCATGACCATGGCAAATCTTATACAGAAAAATATTTAATTGGGGCTGGTTTACAGTTCAGAAGTTTAGTCCATTATCTTCATGGTGGGAAGCA